ATCTAAATGCGGCCTTGTTAAAGAAGATCAGCCAGATCAAGCAGGCTGTGATGGAATTTGGGCCAGCCGGACGCCAACAACAACTGCCCGGTTGACTACCTTTATCTTTGATATATCTTTGATGAGTTTCCAGAGTTTCCCTACTCCTGGAGTCCGGCCTTGTTCCAGGCTTGTGTGGTGCTGACCAGGCAAGCACCAGAGAACATTGACCACAGGTCAGGTTGAGGTAGTAGAAACCAGTCACAGGTATATCACAGGTAAGACGTATAAGATAACCATGACGCTTACATTGGTTATAATTCTTGATATAAACCCAAGTAAACCATCTTAAACAGTTTTCTAAACATCATTTTTGTCTTTGTTCAAACGAACTCTATTTTTATACTTCTATTTTCTTCTCATTAGGTTTGATATAGTGATTTATTTATTTTATAGGAATCATGACTGTTTTCTTTCCAAGGGGTTACGACCTCACTTTTATTCTCACTGAACTGCGTCTGCCACTTCTGTGTCAAAGTCAACCATCTAAGTCAACCGAGTAACAAAATTTCTTCCTATTTCTCGAGATTATATAATTATCAAGCTTATTTATTTCATTAGTCCTTTATCTAAACGGATATCGAGGAGGAAATCGGACATCTTCACCAGGTGCCAGATCAACCAGGCTATGACGGATATGTGAGGCAGCGAGCCTCCAGCAGCAACAACCTGGTTGACCAGGCTAGCACTAGACGAACCTGGCCCATGGCCGGGCTCTGGGAGTAGAAACTCATCAAAGGTATGTCAAAGATAAAAGTAGCAGTTAGGGGGTCATCACAAACTTCTGCTAATCACTATTTGTGACTGGTCCCCTTTCTGATTTCTTCTAATTTATGCACGTTCCCTGTATCCCATCCGTCAGTCTGCCTCGACCCAAGAGAGCGACCGTGCTCGGCAATTTTTCGTGTCTTGTGTGGTATCCTCTCATAGCTCAGTGGAAGCTCGGATAAACCACTTTAATTTTGTGAAAGTAGCTCAAGCTATGTTGAACATACGTCATTCTGCCCCCGTTCCTCTTGTTCATGTATAGCTGTGGTATAGCTTTTATCCATGTGTATAGCACTCAACATGCAAGTTCTGACTCTTTTAATGAAACCTGGTTTCAGTTATTGCAATTATTATTGTTATTATTATTTTCATGTGAAAGAGGTTACCCCGTAGGGAATCACTGCACCTGGGACTGAGAGGGAATTAAGCTTTGTCCTAGTTAGGGAAGACGAGCTCCAGTTCCTGGAGTCAAGAGCCCTACATAGGCATCAAGACACGTTCCTTGATGGGTCAGTTACTCCAATAAGGCATGATTGCGCACATGCAAATAGTCTTAATTCGCTTGTTTTATTCATTTGACTCTGTTTTTTGTATACATCTTGAAAAGGTTTTTGCCTTTTGTCTTTTCCAAATCTTATTTTTTTTTTTTTGTGTTAACTCCTTTAAGAAAGTCCTTTGTTACTTTGGAGAAGAAGCTTCAGATAATATTTCGGTCCGATATGGACCATTATCAAACTGTGATTGATATACTTTTATTTATCAACTTCATTATTTTAATATTTTTTTTCTATTATGTTCTTGAATTTGTATTGATGAAGCCACTGGATGGCGAAACGTCTACAAATAATGATACCCAGATGTTGCACATCCATCTAAATCTTCACCCTAAAAAGATGTCCTACTGCTATGTATTCATGTTATGTTTGCCATAGTAACTCCTTAATAATCTTAGTCATAAACCTGTGCACTAATATGTCGCCCCTTTCTTAACTCTTAATGGAAAAAGATCATCTGGAAAAAGATGATCTTTCTAAGGAAGGCCTGGTCATGAACCGGGCCGCGGGGGCGTTGATCCCCGGAATGCCCCAGGTAAACTCCAGGTAAGGCTCCTAATGCTTGTGATTAGCTTAATCCTCCTTCTGTACTTAATATAAACTTTTGAAGACGATAACATGGAGGCTAGAACTGCATGTTAATTCTTGAACATTAAAATGGTATAAAATACCGACAGGTTGTTAGGTAAGACACATATGCAACAGTTAGGCAACTTTATTTCGAAACGTTTCGCCTGCACAGTAGGCTTCTTCAGTCGAGTAAAGAAAAGTTGATAGAACCAGAAGAGACTTGAAGACGATGTAATCAGTCCATCACCCTTGAAGTTTTGAGGTGGTCAGTCCCTCAGTCTGGAGAAGAGTATTGTTCCATAGTCTGAAACAACATTGAGTTGAAGTGACAGGATGGAGCCTTATATACTCTTCTCCAGACTGAGGGACTGATCACCTCAAAACTTCAAGGGTGATGGACTGATTACATCGTCTTCAAGTCTCTCTCTTTACTCGACTGAAGAAGCCTTCTGTGTAGGCGAAACGTTTCGAAATAAAGATACCTAACTGTTGCATATGTGTCTTACATGTTAATTCTTAAAAGCTTATTACGCTTATATGATTAAAGCAATCATGTACTTAATGCAACCACTCTATAAAACTGAACTTATGAGTCAGTAAAAACACCTTTACATTTAGTCTAAATAAGGCTTGCTTTCAAGACAGAACCTTGGAGCATTCCACCCGCAACAGTACACTACAACGAAGTTACTAAATTTAAATAATCACACCATTTTTTGATCAGAATCAAGTCATAATCCAGTGCTATGCTAAAGTCGAGGCATATATGAAATTATTTTCTATTCTCTACCGTTTCAAAAGAATTTGAGAAGCATAAGTGTAATCTGGGAATCTCTTATTAATCTGCGTCTTTCGAATCGAGTATAAAATATATGCAAGTATGACTTCCACATAATAGATGTTAAATAGACTTCATGATAGCGTGATTTTAATGCTCCATTTCTCATTTGTAAAGCCGGTGCTGGAGTCCTCTACTACTTTCACTAGTGCCAGTTATTGTAGGATCGAGGTAAATAAGGAACATACTTAAATTCGTATGTCTGACTACGAACTTTGTTCCGAAAACTATTACCATACTTCCGAAAGTCGTTCATTTAACTATATTTATTTTCGGAAACTCACCTTGTTCTTCCCTAACAGAATAAAAAAACATTTATAGTACAACCCATTCGAGTTTTCCTTACTGCTAGTAATGTCACAGGCCCTTTATGCCTTTGATGCGTTCACGATAAAAGAGTTCTTCTAATTTACATTCATTCCAATTTACATTGGGAATTTTCGCATTTCTGTATTCCTCGGAGCAAGACACTTTTATAATTAACGAGCCTTAACCCAAGACAGAACTCTCAACAATGCATTCAACCTGAACTTAGGAAAACAATGGTTTGGTAACAAAGTTGTAGGTAAGCTGAGGAGTGCCAACCAATCCACTAGTGCTGAAGTCTGCTACTCACTATGGTGGCAGTCACCTACTCAACAGTGCTGAAGTCGACTACCCTAATTTAAAATAAATTCACTGAGTTTTGGGGGTTATCTTAGGTAATTTACATCATGCATGATAACTGAACTTTTATGTACCTGTACTTAAATAAACTTACTCAGTAGTCCTGAAGTCGACTACTCAATAATGCTGAAGTAGTCTACACATTGAGATGATTTTCTGCCTGGAGTCTACCTGGAGGGTATTCCAGAGATCAACGCCCCTGCGGCCCGGTCCATGACCAGGCCTCACGGTGGATCAGAGTTTGATCAACGAGGCTGTTACTGCTGATCCGGTACTGACTTTAGGTATCTGTCCGGCTCCCTCTTGAAGGTAGCCAGGGGACTATTGGCAATTCCCCTAATGGCTGGTGGGAGGCTGTTTAACAGTCTTGGATCCCGGACACTTACTGTGTTTTCTCTTAGTATACTAATGGCGCCCCTATTTTTCATTGGAGGATATGCTGCACCGCCTGCCAAGTCTTTTGCTTTCGTAGGGAGTGATTTCTGTGAGCAGATTAGGGACTAGTTCCTCTAGGATTTTCCAGGTGTAGATTATGATGCATATCTCTCGCCTGCGCTCCAGTGAGTACAAGTCAAGTGTTTCCAAGTGTTCCCAATATATTTGTTAAGGTGTTTGATGGAACTTACATGTGCAGTAAAGGTTCTCTGTAAATTCTCTAAGATCTGCGATTTCACCTTTCTTGAATGGAGATGTCAGTGTACAGCAGTATTCCCTACAAAGAACAAGTGATACAAAAAGGATCACCACTGGCTTGGTATTACTTGTTTTGAACGTTCTTATTATCCATTCTGTCATTTTCCTCGCAGATGTGATAGTGGCACTGTTATGATCCTTGAAGGAGAGATCCTTACACATTGCCAGTCCTAGGGCCTTCACATTACTTTTTCGTTCTGTGTGATCAGTTTATAGTATACTCAGTTCTAGCTATTATTTCCTCCAGTTTTCCAAAACGGAATAGTTAGAATTTGTCTTCATTGAACATCATAGTGATCTCCGTTGCCCATTAGGAAAGTTGGGTTATCTTCTTGGAGATTTACAGTGTCCTCAATGGATGATACTCTCATGCAGATCCTAGTATCGTCTGCAAAGGATGATACAGTGCTATTGTTTACATCTCTGTCTATCTATTGAGCAGAACATCTACTGACGCCGAGTAGAGCCTTTCACTAGTGCTGAGGTCAGCCACTTAGTTTTAATGAGTAGATTATGTATTCCCTAGTGCTGAAGTCATTTACTTGTTAGTGTTTAAACCATCTACTAGCTGTTGTTAAAATCATCTACTCAATTGTGTTGAAGCCATGTAAATATTGATGAGTAGATCATCACTCACTATTTGTTGAGTATTGAGTAGATAATCTACACGCTGGCAATGAGTAAATTATTTTCAGCTATCTACCATGTGTTTCAGGTTTTCCATAAGAAAACAAGACAATACTACGAGCAAAGTGGAATAAAATATACATAAAACTGAGCTTAAGAAAAATTCTAGGAAGTTAATTGTCACTTAGGGGAAAACTTTTGAAATTTCAAGTTTTAAATTATAACAAACTTTTGGGTAAACTTACCAGAGACTGGAAATTTCAGTGGCCTTTCTCGAATTATTTTTTTTTAAATCCACTGATGTTGTAAACTCACAGAAAAAAGAGGATATATTTTCAACACACAGGTAAGAATCTCACATCACAAGCGGGGAAACACATGAAGATGTCTTGTAAAAGTCGTCAGTTAGAAGCGAAGTCCACTGACAACAACGGTCAAAGAGTTTCTCTCAAGTGGCGGAGCGTGCGAGAGACACAACCCCACTCCGTCACTTACGGCTAGACACTGACTGCTTTTGGTCGACCTGCGCCCAGCCAGTGTGTGAGGCAGCCATCATTACCCCTATACCCCCCCAACACACACACACACAGTATATATACACACACACATATACAAGCACGCATATACAACAGGCCGAGTGTCTAATCGACATGTGCCTAGGACAAAATGGTAACACACAGGGAATACCTGACAGGAAGGAAACGAGTGATGGTACGTGACATGGTTTCGGAATGAGTGCATGTGACGACACGGGTTCCACAAGAATCAGTCCTAGGGGGCCAGGGCCGGTGCTGTTTCTTGAATATGTCAATGACATGGCAGAAGGGATAGAGTCAGAGGTGTCCCTTTTCACAGACGACCTGCAATTAATTAGAATACAAGCTGGCGAGGGTCAGGAAAGGCTACAATGAGATCTGGACAGACTACAAGCCTGGTCTGACAAATGGCTCCTGGAGTTAACCCCACCAAATGCACAGTAATGAAGCTTGGGGAAGAACAAAGAAGATCGCAGACGGAGTACAAGCTTGGGAGGGCAAAGGCTGCAAACCTTACTCAAGGAGAAGGACATTAAGGTGAGAGTCATACTGAGCACATCCCTTAAGTGGCACATCAACTAATAACTACGGTAGCAAATGCACGTCTGGCAAATCTAAGAATAGCGTTTCACGGTTAAGAATAGTCATTCAGGTCACTGTAGACCGTATACGTCAGACCTATACTGGAGTATGCAGCACCAGTATGGAACCCACACATGGTCAAGCACATAAAGAAATTAGAGAAAGAGCAGAGATTTTCAACAAGACTAGTCCCGGAACTGAGAAGTATGTCCTATGAGAAGAGATTAAAGGAGTTCAACCTGACAACTCTGGAGGACAGGAGGACTGAGGGCAGGACAAGAGGGCGCAGATGGAAGATAAAAGCTCAGATGAGTTAGAGGGACGTTACGAAGTATTTTTTCAGGACGTGGAGCAATCTAGAGAGAGAAGTAGCGGAGGCAGGATCAATACATAGCTTTAAGATGAGGTACGATAAGGCTCTTAGAGCAGGGAGAGAGAGAGTGGACCTAGCAATGGCTAGCGAAGAGATGGGGCTAGAAGCAGCCACATATAGGTGAGCACACACACAACCATACACACAACTACATCACACAACCCACACCACACCAGCAACCGCACCAACAACCACATCACACACACACACACACACACACACACACACACACACACACACACACACACACACACACACACACACACACACACACACACACACACACACACACAGGAGCTTGGACTCGACCCCTGCAACCTCAACTAGGTGAGTACACACACACACACACACACACACACACACACACATATACACACACACATATACACACACACATACACACACACACACACACACACACACACACACACACACACACACACACACACACACACACACACACACACACACACATATACACACACACATACACACACACACACACACACACACACACACACACACACACACACACACACACACACACACACACACACACACACACATACATACATTAGCTATAAGCAGGTAATTAAGGACAATGGATGTAACAGAGCCGGAGTGTCAGGCTGTGACACGAAAAAAAGTAAAACAGATAAAAACCCAGAGAGAGATCTCTTAGTTCGACCAAAAATGAAGAGGCCAGGGAGAGGCTCAACAGGACGCGGAATTAATACAAAGAAGCACTACAGACAGGAAATAAGCAAAAGAACTACAACCGACTATGCAAGGATACAAGTGGAACCTAAAAATCAACTATTGTGGGTGAATTAGAAAGGTATCCCAGTATTGTATAACAGTAGTCCACCTCTATCTCAATATACGTGACAGGAACAGTGCAGAGTGCAGCATAATTTTCTAATGCCGGCGTTGAATATCTGGAGGGAATCAGAAGATACATTCGGAAGTTATCACATGGAAACTAATACCCGAATTTCTTTAATAAGGATGATAAATTAGGACTTAACGCAAAATTCAAACGTTTCACTAAAAAATACCAGGTTTGAACTCTAACTCAAGAGGAGTTCTCTTGTTAACTCAGAGATCAATATCCTGGAATACACCAGCATATTAAGTTTGAAGCCGCTCGGAATGTGCATTATCAAGCACTGAATTGTTGATGCTAATCTAATGACGCACTCAGAAATTGACGCACAAAAACCAATATTTCAATTTCTCAGTTTCTTCCATATAAATGTCAAATTTAGACCTACACTGGCCAAAATCAACCCAAACTCTTCTCTAAGTAAGATTGACTCGCTTTCAAATTTTAGGTAAACAAGCAAGTAATCAAAGGAATAAGGATTTTTTATATAGGCTTTGAAAACATAACTCAATTTTTTTTACAGTTCTCTTGAGGGCGCACACATGTTACAGGTACATAAAAAATTACGTGTAAATTTAACTTAGGATAACCCAATAAAGTCAAAAATGACTTCTTACTGATAAGAAAACACTTTTGAAGGCAATCAGACGAGGTTTTCTCGTGTTGTGGCAAAAGTAGACCCGATAAAGTTGGACAAAAATCAGGCAGGCACTTAATAATACTTCTTCTAGGATACCTAATTAATAAATAATAAACCATTATAAGCTGAAAATGGAATCAGAATTGATCTATAGCAACATAGGAAGGAATTTGACTATGTTAAGAGGGAGATTATTCATGAACGATCAATGAAAGTGAGGAACGAAAGATTAAAGGAAATCTTGACAGAATTATGCATGAAGCTAACTGAAAACAGAGAAATTAGAACAGACCAGCAGGAGCTAGAAAAAGTTAACACAAAGGACACAGTGATTAAACCACTAAATGAGTTTGACATGTACAACAATTGAACCAGACACCATATCTTCGTGGGAAAATAGATCTACTGTGTTACCCAGTAGCGAAACTTTTCAACTGTTCTCTTGAGACAGCGTATCTGATAGATTACTGGAAAATGTAAGGAGACAAGATGCAACAAATTATAGCCGATATAACTAATATTAATACTATGTTCGGTATCCTGACAAAGAAAACAACTTCTAAGTGGGCTGACGAGCATCAAAGTTAAGCAGGATTTGTCAAATACCAAAAATGACTTTAGGCACGGGAAAACCTGTAAATTCACACCAGAATGCTCATAGGTTCAAATTCTGTGAAAGGCGATACTGTTTGGCAAGTTTCCTTATGTCTCATAGCATTAAATATGTATATAAGTTCTGGTCGACTATTGTAGGTCTCATCCTGAGAAAAAATAACATATTCTTGATAATGACGTAATCTTTACTCCGGCAAATTCCATTAGACAATAACGTAGAGGTAATCAATTCTTTATTAGGTTCAGGGCAGTGAGAAAATTCTATAAACGAGATATGTAAGTCAAGAAAGCAAACAAAATACATAAATTTAAGAGAGGTATGATAGATATAAAGAGCCAGAAGCCAGTAATGTCGATCAACAAAGATTAATAAATGAGGCCAGAAGCCAAGACTTTTAACCCCCGACATACCCAGATCAGTAGGTACATGGTAGGTACTGCCAGGCACTGCCTAACGGGGATTTATAACATGCCGTTCTGACCGTTCTATCGCACATACCTCCTCTTCTTACTCCTTCTTCTCCTCCTCCAAGTGAATAACAGTGCACAGTATTATTCACTTACAAAATAGAGGTAATTGCAAAACTCTGATATATTTCTGTGCCATCTGTGTTAACATTACAGTCGACTGATGTCTAAAACTGAATGACAGTGTAAAATAAAACTAGTCAACAGCATTTACAGAAAAGGAGGCGAGTATTTTGGGACGCCATCTGGTGACGGAAGTCATGAGCGGTAGTGGGCGAAGTGTGATATTATTAGTCTAGTCAGCTTGACAAACAGTATTAAATCGTTTGCCATTGATGATATCACCTACTACAGCAGCAGCACCACCAATAATAATAATAATAATAATAATAATAATAATAATAATAATAATAATAATAATAATAATAATAATAATAATAATAATAATAATAATAATTATAAACACAACAGCAATAATAAAAGAAACAACAACTACAACAATATTATTATTATGAAAATCTTATTGTATTGAATTTCCGCAAAAATCATACGTCATATAGCATATTTTGGCACTGCATTAGTTTTCCAGACTTCCAGGAAGGTGCAGCTGGTGCAGAGTGCAGGACCAGGGCTGGAGTTGTGTGCGTGACGCGAGGCGTGAAGAACAAAGCGTCACGTGAAGAAAGGGTCGAGGCGAGGGATCCGATCTCGGTCGAACATAAGCTGGAAGAAAGTTTCTGGTATTGATCCTAGCGAGGCTTCCGATCTCTAGCGCACCTGAGCTGCAAGACCATTCCAGGTACAGAGTCAGGCCAGGACAGAGTCAGTCGTACATGAGCTGGAAGAGAGTTCCAGGCAAGAGATCCGATCTCTGGCTTACCTAAGCTGGAAGGGCATTCCGGTTACCGATCCGTGAGAAGAGTTCAATATCTGGAGCACGTGAGCTGGTGGGGCATTCTAATTATCGATCGAGGTGAAGATTCCAGTATCTATGACTCGAGAGCTGGGAGGCATTCCAATTATCGATCGAGGCGAGGAATCTGATATCTGGTACACGTGACCCGAAATAGCGTTCCAGGTATCGATTCAGGTGAGGGGCTCCGATATCCGAACACGTGAGCTGTAAGAGCATTCCATGTATCGATCCTCTGAGAGCAGGGGCTCCGGTTTCTAGTAAGCGAGCTCTGGAATGCTCACATAATAAGCTACCTGTCCACCAGTCCTGGCTACTGTTAAGGCAAGGGGATCGTGGCGTTCCAGGGAGCTCTTGCGTTCCAGCTGCAGGTTCTTGACGCTTATGGAATAACAGGAGGGCTTCAGGGTGGAAACCTGTTAACGTCAGATCACCATAGGCCAAAATAATTTAAAATGCTTCTCATGCTGAAAATACTGCATATGTTGCATCAGGA